AGGAAAGCACAAACTAGGAAAGATGTTTTCAACACATATAACTAATTTGTATATTATATACGTGTGTGTGTGTATAAAATTAGTATTCATATATGATACAATAGTATACTGTTATATAGTAATATAGGCATATAACATCTGTGTGTATCTCATAAAAGAAGGGGTTATTAAAGAGAAAAGATAAGCCTTTGCTTACATCTCTGCCACCCCTCAAACAAGTCTCCATGTATATCCCAGGCTGGCACCAAATCTGATACTGCTTCCACCTTTTGAGTGCTGGGATTGCAAGCATTCATTACCATGCCTGGCCACACTTTTTTCTTAAAGCATGCACAGTAATGCTAATGTGCTTTTCTGAGCATATGTTTTATGCCAAGCATGTAGTGCACGTAACACAAGTGCCTAGCAGACATTAACTCACTGAACTCTCACCAGCCCCAAAGCAGCAGTTTTCTCATCATCCCATTATACAGGTGAGGTCACTGAGGTGCAGAGATTAGATAACTAAAGTCAGACCCCATGAATTCTAAATCCCTGAGACACATAGCCTTGTGAAAAGAATTTCTGGGCAACTTGGAAATAAAGTTGAAAATACTGTTGGGTTTGCGATACTGTGAAGTTACCTCTCTGCTCCATGATTCAACCCTACACCTTCATGGTGTGAATACTCCACCCTTGCTCGCTTCCTCAATTCCCAGTCACCATCTAGCCTATTGTACTCCAGTTTCTGTTCCGCTTCTTCCACTGAAGGCTGCCCTGGCAAAGAGTGCCAGTGCCCTCTTGGTCTCCAAACTCAGAAACTGCCTCTCACTGTTCATCTTCTTGACCTCTCAGGTGCACTTGGCAGACATTCCTGACGCTCCCTCCCATTTACCTGACAGATTCTTCCTGGCTTCTGCTTCTCTGCCTCTCTATTTCTCTCTGTTCTTTTTCTGTTCAGCTCCTAAACTTTCATGTTCAGGGTTCTGTTTCAGGTCTTGGATGATGGCATTTATTTATGTCTAGAATTATCTCCCAAATTTTCTTCTGTGCTCCAGGTTCAAAGCATCTACTTACTGGATATTTTAAAAATAACTTATTTATTTTTATCTTACGTGCACTGATGTTTTGCCTGCATGTATGTGGATGCGAGGGTGATGGATGCCCTGGAACTGTTACAGGCAGTTGTAAGCTGCCATATGGGTTGCTGGGAATTAAACCCGAGTCCTCTGGAAGAGCAGCTGGTGCTCTTAACCACTGAGCCATCTCTCCAGCCTCCTTACTGGGCATTTTAGTTTCATCTGTTTTTGCCTTCGAGACACAGCAAGTCTTGAATCTTCTCCACACTTCCTATTTTGTTCCTTAACTCTGAATCTGACATTGACTCACTCTACAGGCCATCCAGGACCCAAATATTCAGATAGTCTCCCTCCAGCTTTTTTTTTTTTTTTTTTTGCATGCATCAGTTGTCAAACACTGCTGCTTTAACAGTGTGTCTACACCTCACTCCCGCTCACCTTCACAGCTATGGTCCTATTGAATGAAGGTTCTTAGAGTTTTCTCTCTAGGATTGCTGTGAATGTGCTGCCTCCAGCATGTTGATTGAATTTTAACCTAAGTGATCATTTTAAAAAACTAAGTCTCACTATGTAGGCCAGGCTGGCCTTGAACTCCTGTTTTTTCTGTTACAGCCTCCTGAATGCTAGAATTACAGGCATGTGCCACTGGGTCCAGCTTTCAAGGTTAAGAAAGCTTTACTGTGTGGCTTAACACCCTACCCATGACCCTGTTGTAATTGTCCTGCACTCTATTTGGACTAGCCCTTCCCGACATCATTTGACAGGAACTTATTCTCCAAAATTTCATTGTTTAGGAAGCGTTTTCAATAGCCTTTGTCTGGCTATCCACTTGTCCTGTTGCCCACCCATCCATCTATCCATCCATCCATCCTTCCATACACTCATCTACTCAGAAATTACTGTGGATATGTTATGTTCTAAGATCTGAGACTGGGTATGAGACAGACAGGGTCCAGTTTTTCCAGACATAAGCACCATATTGCAGATGTATGTTATGTATGTTGATGGATCAATTCTCTCTCTCTCTCTCTCCCTCTCTCTCCCTCTCTCTCTCTCTCTTCTTCCCCCTCCCTCTTCCTCTCCCTCTTCCTCTCCCTCTTCCTCTCCTCTCCTCCTCCACCTCCCCCGTCCCCCCTCTCTGTGTCTGTGTGTGTTGCTAGAACCCAGAACATCGTGCACACTAGGCAAATGTTCCACCAGCAAGCTGCCTCCAAGCCCAGGTGTGTTGATTTTTGTCTTCCTGTCTTAAAGGTTAGGTTCATCTTTTGATATTCAGAGTCTTGGACATGTTAAATCCTATAGGCCTTTAAAAAACAAGAAAAAGTTTGTTGACCAGTTCCCTAAGTCTATCAGCTTAGCACACCCAGTAATAATAAATAATAAGTAAACAAACAAATACATGTGAAAAGGAAGTCTAGTTTGTTTGGATTTATTCTTAGTGACTCCCTGCTGACCTCTCCGTAATCCTTGTCTTTTTGTTGTTGTTATTCTGCATGGTCATCAATCATACCTTGGGCTGACTGACCCTGCTGTATGGCTTTGGTTTTCTATAGGTGTAGCCCAAAACTCAACCAGATCCTTGTTTACCCACCATCAGTATAGAGAATGTTTGCTTAACAATATGGTGGGTGTTTCCAAGCTCAAAACAGAGACCGAGGGTTTGTGAAACCCATTTGCTTTTTGAACTCCTGCAAGCTAGCTTCTCTCAACCATTTGAAGACACTATGAGAGAGAGGCAGGAGGCACAGAGCAGGTGAAAGAACACTTGAAGATGGAGTTGAAAAGTCAAAATCTGTCTTCTAGGAGTACAGAAAAACAGCATGGGGAAGATTGGGTGGAAATGGTCACTGTTGTCTTCTGGGAGCTTTTGGCTCATCGGTAAACAAATTAGTGGTACACTACGTTTTCCAGTTCCTCACTTGAGCATGCTGAAGACTCAAGACACTTTTGTCTCCTTGGAAAATCAGCATTCATATAGCCCAAGCTGTACACACTGCCTGTCTCTTATATTGGAACAAAGGTCCTGAGCAATATGCATCTGAGAGCATCTGTATCACTAGAATGCTCTCAGAATGGATTCTTTGTTATCACATTGAAGCAGCAGATGTCTTGTGTACTCCACCCCCTATCCTACTTCCTCATCTCTACTGGTGAATGTTAAATCACATTTCCTCATCATAGCATACCCTGAACCTCACCTTCCCTGAGTCAGTATCCCAATCCTATGGTTCCAATATATGTCTTTAAAATCCATGTGTTAGAAATGTAATACCCAAACCCATGTGTCATCTTTGGGGCTGGGATCTTTGGAGAACATTAGGACATAAGGTCATGAAGGTGAGTCCCTGTGATGGCATTAGTAGCTTTAGAAGAAAAGGGAGAGCAACCTGAGCTTGAGGGCTCACTCTGTGAGGCCCCTGTCTTGTTACAGTGCAGCATGAAGACTCTTTACCAATGGTTACTGCCATGCTAGACTTCCCAGCTCCAAATTACAAGCCAGACAAAAGTCTCTAATTAGAAACAATCCAGTTGTATGCATCTGAACAGAAAACTGGCCAAGACACCTATGATGTGCACTTCTAAAGCCTTGGCTTCTAAAGTACTAGGATTATAGACACACACCACTATGCCCATTCTCCTTCCTCTTTCATAGCACATGGTGATTATACTTTGTCATTTGAATAATTCTCACTGTTGATTCTCTCCTCTGGATTCCCCTGTGTGTAGCACGTGTGAAGCACTCAGAAAATAACTGTTGGATGAATCAATGACAGGTGTCAATCAAACCTCGAATGGCTACCACATCACCTCCTAACCTCCGGCTGAGAAGCATGCACATTTCTAAGCCACATTGCCTGATAGCACCTACTCGTGATCATCACAAGACTTTGATCCTTGGTACATCTTTCAGATTCTAGTTTAGAAACTCTGGCCTTGATGGTTAACTGGATTTGGAAACTACTGCTTTGGAGACTAAGTTTATGAGGCACAACAGCTTGGAGTTTACAGTGAGCCATTAAGCATAGATACAAATAAAGACATAAATAGTCCATAAAGACATTATTTGTCTAGTTTTCCAACCACACACAGGTTTAAAAAAAATCTCTACTAAGAAAAAAGGTATGAAAAACTACAGCGGATATAATGTTCTTTTGTCAGAATGTCAAAGATTAAGAGTGAAATAGTATGTTATGTTTTTGGTGTCTGGGGTCCATGTATGCTTGGCATATGGGTACTGGAGCATGCCTGGGTCTATGTTACGGAAGATCAAAGGCTTAAGGGTAAAAGGCGTTCTTGGCAGATGAAGCAAATTTGCTGGAAGTGTGATGGGCTACAGATATTTGAAAATTCCATGACTTTATATTGGCCTGTAAGTGGTTGCTGCCGTGCCCTCCGTGTGTCTGTCTGTATCCTAGAAGAATGTGATCTGCTCTCTTTACATGACTGACAAACGTATAGTGAGTGTCTGATACTTTTGTCCCATAAACACTGGTGCTTTGTTCTTTTTTTTTTTTAATTTTATTTATTTTGTTTATATGAGCATGCTGTAGCTATCTTCAGCCACACCAGAAGAGGGCATCAGACCTCGTTACAGATGGTTGTGAGCCACCATGTGGTTGCTGGGAATTGAACTCAGGACCTCTGGAAGAGCTGTCAGTGCTCTTAACCGCTGAGCCATCTCTCCAGCCCCTTTGTTCTGTTTTTAACAAGAGAATCTCCCTAGGTTCTTTCCCTAGGTGCCATCCTGTGCTCACTAACCTGCATAGAAGATGCAAACAGGAACTTGAACATGACTCCTGAAATAGCCAGCGGGGTAGCCATTGGAAAGCCCTGCTCTTGTGGAAGACAGTATCCTTTTCCTTCAGATGTACCTCCCTAGCCATCATTCAAAATAAGAAGTGGTCCTCCTCTCTAAACACAAGCTAGTGAGTATCCTCTTACCAGGTGCATTCCTATGGAAGTGGACATTGCTGTCTCGATCTCAGTCCCCACGTCTTCGATGAAGGGGTATTCATTCTGCTGATGGATAAGCACCTTGGCTCCAGTGGAGGACACCAGGAAGGGGTTATATTCATCTTCGTTTATGTATAAGATGACTTGTAGCCCTAGGAAACAGAGTAGCTTGTTGTGGTCAAAGGCTAGAAAAAAACAGTCCCCAGGGATTTGGGGGGCCTCCAATCCAAGTCCCAGGGACTTCCAGAATGTGCTAGGTAGGTGAATACCAGACTGGAATCTTTAGGACAGTAGCACTTGTGTTTAATCTGTTTATTGCAAGTTCGAGTAGTGGTTCAAACACACATCACAGTCACAGTGCTGGCTAAGAGTGAATTCCTGTCCAATGTAAAGGAACTGGCTGAGACACGTAAGTATGTGGTGGTTGACAAAGGAAGTTCTGCTGGGCATCCAAAGGTACCTGCAGTGCTGTGGCTGCTTACAGAGTGGAGCTGGGGAAGAGCTAAGACGTGATGGTGCATCTGGTTGCTGGTTTAACCTCTCTCCTCCTGCTCTTGCTTTCTATGCAAGTCTTATTCTGTCCCCAGCTGCCAGATGGAACTTTAGAAATTGGAGATCAGGTCAGGTCACTGCTTGAAGCCCTTCGGCTGCATCTCTGGGGAATGCCATTGATTGCCCTGCCTGTCATTGTCAAGGATATGAAGATGTAGCCCAATTCAAGCCTCTACCCTCAACTCATCCCTCTCCCTCCCTTTTTAGATCAGCTCCAAGTACACTGCTCTTATGTGTTAGTTTGCATGAGAATGTTCTTCATAGGCTCTTTCCTATGTTTGAATTCGTTGCCAAACAGTTGGTAGAACTGTTTGGGAAGGATTAGGATTTATGGCCCCAGGGATACGCTTTCAAACATCTCCTGCCATCCCCAGTGAGCTCTCTGCCTCCTGCTTACAGTTCAAGATAGGAGCTCTCAGCTGTTATCTCCACCATGCTTTTGCTCTGGTACCATGGACTCCAGTCTACTGGAACTCTAAGCCCAATTAAATGCTTTCTTTCATCGAGTTGTCTTGGTCAAGTTGTTTTATCACAGCAGCAGAAAAGTAACTGATACACCTTACATATCTTTCTAGAACACCTTGGATTCATTTTCTTCTCTAGGTCCCAGACTGCTCCTGTGAGTATTTCTGAGCCCCCCTTTCCCAGCTCACACCCCTTTCCTGAGCCCAGCCTTTCTCTGCCTTTGAAGCCCTCCGGCTGCATCTCTGGGGAATGCCATTGATTGCCCTGCCTGTCATTGTCAAGGCTATGAAGATGTAGCCCAATTCAAGCCTCCCCTCCTACTTCTCATTGGTATTATAATTAGATTGTGTCCCTGCCTGCTTATTCATTCTCCAAGTTTCTCTTTCCACAGAAACCCAAGCTCCCTAAAAGCAGGAATGACAACTGTCTTGTTCCCCCACGGTATCCCTAGCTCTTCAAACTGGGGCCAGCATGTAGCAGACAATCTGTGCTTCATAAATGAACCAATGAATGAGTGGTCTGCGTGAACTGAAAGATGAGAACCTCAGAGCTATTCTAACTGCTTCTACTTGTAAATAAGGGAACTGAGCCCAGAGAGGGATGTGGTATACTGAAGGTCACACAGCAGAGCCAAGAATCTGTCCCTCTTTACTCAGTTCTCAGCCAGTCTCTTGCCACTGCAATATGCTCTCTGGGTCATAGCTTCTTATGGTCTTAGAAAGAGGCCAGACTTCACAGTTATGATAGTCAGGATTCTGAGTGCAGGTTTCCCCTACAACAGAACCTAGCTATTCCTAACGAAAGCATATCTGTGTAACAAATTGAGTTCTATTTACATTGAACTTTTTAAGAATTCCCATTGGCTTGACATGGTGCTGCATGCATGTCTGAATCATCAGTATTCAGGAGGCCAAGGTAGGAAGCTCACAAGTTTGAGGCCATCCTGGCCTATCTAGTGAGACTCTATCTCAAAATAAACAGGGGCTAGGAGCATAGCTTGGCAGTAGAGTGCTTTCCCCACAACGTGCAAGGCCCTTGGGTTCTCAGCAGCACAGAAAAGGTATGGAGGATATCTTTTTGTGAGGAAACCAAGCCAATCTGCCACAGTCTTACCTTCCTTACCAAGCAGAAGTTAGCAGACACAGTGTCATAAAGGATCGTGATGGCTGTACGTACGGTGTGTGTGGCTGGCATGTATACCCTCCCTAGACTAGATTCATAGGGCGAAGTGCCAACTTCCCATGTAAAGGCATTTGGAGATAGGGCATTAATTAAGGATCAATGAGGTCTTAAAGTCCTGGCTCTAATCTGATAGGATTAGTGTCCTTATAAAAAGGAGAGACATCACAGCACCCTCTTGAGACAGAGGAAGGGCCATGTGAGGATACATGCAGAAGACAGCCAAGAAGAGAAAGAAGTCATATCTGAATCCACAAGTGCCAGTACCTTGACCTTGAATGTCCAACCTTTAGCATCATGAGAAATTAATATCTATTGTTGATACCGCCCAAACTATAGCCTTTTTGTTATGGTAGCTTGAGTGTGTCCCAGATCTTATTCTAAGAGCTCTGAAATGGAAGTGTATGGGAGCTACTGTTATTGTTCTCAGTTTATAGTCAAAGGACAATAACCAAGGTCACCCAGTGAGAGTCAGAGCTGCAGTTTGGCTCCAGAATCTGTCATCTTAACTAAGCTAAAGGTGTGTCTGCCTGCCTAATCTCCTACACAGTCCATCTGGGTTTAGCCCTGTTTAGACGCCACCTGCCCAGGATTAGTCACCCTAGCAAGAGTGGTTTGTCAGCTGAAGGAAGCCCAGCAGTATCCCTGTAGCTCTCCCAAAGATAAAGAAGTCAGAAAAGAAACCGCCCACTGTGAAGAAACAAAACGAACACGGATGATCATGTGTGCACTGAGGGAGGACAAGAATGCCTTTGCTTTAGGGCTAGGCGTAGGTGGAGAGGTGGGAGACTGGGAGACGTAAGTGTCCCCAAGTGTACTGCTGCCATCAAGATAGCCACTCGTGTCTCATGGATCCCTCCTTGCAGGCCTCCTTACCATACTCACTGCCTCCCATGGAGGTGCTGAGGATGGTGGCATTCTCTCTGTTGTTGAACGTGTAGCAGTTCCCATACATTGGATGGTGGAAAAGCGTGAAGTTCCTATGGAGGAAAGGAAAGAAAGGTTCAGAGAGGGCTGGGCTGGGGCTTGCCCTTGTGTATCTCAGTTGAAGTCAGGAAGCGTTGTGTTGATGGCGAAGGCTTTCCTTTGGGATAATGGATGAGCACGTGACTCACTGGTCCCATTTTCCCTCGGATGAAATGAACAGGTCCCTCCGTAGAGTGGGCAAGCCTTGATGTAGAATCAAACTATGCGTTTGTTCTCCCTCTTAATCCTCTCTCCACTGTCGCTATTTTGATTTGAAATTGTTTTGTCTCTGAAATAGGGCCTCATATGTCTCAGGCTCACTCACACTCCTCATGTAGCCAGGAATAACACTGAACATCCGATACTCCTGCTTCCATCTCCTGAGAGCTGGGAGTAGAGATGGGTACTACCCTATCTAGGGGTGGAACTCAGGCCTTTGTGCATGCTAAGCAAACTCTGAATCCACTGAACTGCATCCTCAGCCCTGACATGATAGTCTTCGTGTCACATGCTTGTACTCAAATCCTTCTCCCCTTGAATTTCTCAGCCAACACTTGGAGCTTTGCAAACTTTCAGCTCTATGAAAATGATCTTCAGAGAAGAAGTCCAATCCTATGGTCATCATGTAATTTCAGGACCGTTACCCCTAGGGTGAGATTATCCTAATCATTTAGTATTTGCATGGAATAATATGCATATTAACATGTAAAAGGGCCAGAAAGGTTTAGAATACAAAAAAAGAGGGTAGTTAAGTCCTTCAGTCTGGAGGGATCACCTTGTAATGTCCCATCAATTTCATAGTCACCAGCAGGGATCTGATTATTATATTCAAAGAATGATCAAAATATGAACACTTGGCTAACTGCCTGACTGCCTCCCTCCCTCTTTTCTTCTCTCTCACCATCTCTCTGTCCCTCCCTCTCTCTCTCTCTTCCCTTCCTTCTTCTTCTGTATCAGGGTGGTGGCTCTCAGATGTAGGTATACATCACAGTACAAAGCTACATGCATGCTATTGACTACCCTGTGTCGTGACAGGTGATGTAGTGGGTTTAAAGATGTTGTGATCCCATGTCAGGTACATTTTCCAAGTGATCCTGAAACCTGGCTCCCTTGTAAGTGATTTTCCAAAGGGCAGAGTCAGTGTCCTCAAGGCCTACAGGTGAGGTCTAGATGCATGGAAAGGACCTAACTTAGAGCCTCTGGTCCTCAGAGAATGTCCCCCACTCCTGACCTGGCATCACAGGACATCCCATCGAAGAAGCAGGTCACCAGCAGTTCTTCGGCAGAATAGCTCATGTTGATTTTCTTCTCTAGAGGCACCTGTGCCATGATATTCATGTAGTGAAGCTTGTACCACTCCTGGATGGCATTGATTCCTGAGCTGAAGGTGTAGGTGGCGCAATCAGAGGTGTCATTTGAGCACTGTGAAGAAGAGGGAACACCAGCCTGTCAGTCCTAGCGTTATCAGAAGGGCTGACATGAGTGACAGATGCCAGAGTAGGTCCTTGGGAATAAGCTTGGTTTCCTCTCACTTCTGGGAGCTTGAAGAGGTCAACTTCAAGCCTCAAAGATAAAAGAGAGAGCACAACAGGACACTGAGGTCAGTTCCTATGGCTTCCTACTACTGTCTGCATTGGACAAGAAGCAAAATCAGTTTTTAGGGTCCCCATATATTTAGGATTTGGCTGATTAATGTCACTGTCTCCCTATTGAACTCCACCATTTCTTATCCTAGACACAGTCTAGAAATCTGGGTTCTAGCCCAGCTCTGATGTTACTTCTTTGCAGGATCTCAGACAAGGCACTAACATATGGAGTATGTCACTGACAGACTGATAGCTGGAATACCAACCTACCCAACCACACATAGCAAGCAGCTGGAAGGGCTCATGCTTGAAATTTTTAATTATGAGGGCTCTAGAGAGAAGCCATGGAACATTCCAGGCATTTTCATCACCCTGGGCTTGGAAAGTCTCCTGAAAGGACAAAATGTCGAAGAATTTGGTACCAAGAGAATCATGTAAATTATCCTTTGAATGGAACCAGGAGAGTGTTGAGGTCCCAGTAATTTTGATGAGCCTCCTTTTCTTTGTTGGAAATTTGTTTAGATTGATAGAAAACATTGCTAGATTCAAAAGTCTCATTATCAAGGTTATTAAGGTGAAAGAGTGTCTGTCACTGCTCTACTGGTGGCATGGAGAGGCACAGTGATGATAGACTTTGTCCAGGAGAGTTCACGTTCAGTGAATAGCTGCTTCCTGTCATTGCTTGAATGGGAGGGAGGCCAGGGAGAAGATTAGAAGCCTGGCTGTGGCACGTCACAGAGGCAAGTACTGCTGGGAACCCTGGTGCATTTGCTATAGTTTGTTTTCCCTTTTCTGATGTCTGTGCAACATTTGCTTTGGGGCTCTGCACACACACACACACCCCCATCTGTCAGAGAGTGATCAGGTATCCCCCAAGCTTGGCTAAGTAGGATCCCAAGATTGAATCTGCAACTTAGGCATTAACAGAAAGAGTAAAAATGGCCTCTGTAATTCGGCATCAGCATCTGAATGAATCCCAGCATTTCTTGCTCCCCTGATCATTAGGTCTCCCTAAGTTTCTGTCCTTTAAAAAGCCCTTATGAGTCACTAGCTCTCCTAAGACTTTTCCCATACTGAAGCCTGCTTGAGCTGGTTTCAGTTGCTTGCCACCAACTCACCCTAACAAAGTATAAATCTTACAGTTGGCCTTGATTGTAATGATCAAGAAGAGACGGTAAGTCCACCGGCTCCCTGATCTCCCCCACACCCATGAACTGTGAGGACGTGAGTCTTACCAATTGAAATCCCACCAGTTTGTTTGACTTGTGAACGTGCATGACACTAGAAGCCTTGTGAATAATTTTCCCACTGATTTTCCGCTTCCGACCAGTGAAGAAGTCCCTGGCCTTTCCCTTCTCGTTCTCGTTGAAGACCAGCAGTGGGATCAGGTTGAGGAATCTGGGTGGTGTGCCTTCCCAGTTGGACCGCATGGATCCTGCTTCCCGACGTTTCCGAGATTCTGATACATCTTTGACCCCATACAAGGATAGCAAGGCCTGTTTTGTCTCACCATCCAAGTCAGTCAGAAGGTCACTCACAGCACTGTACCTATCAAAGTGGAAAGAAAATGTCATGGAGAAGAAAGACCCCTAGCACAGTGCAGTAGCTGCTTCATGTTGTCTTCCATCTTGGTGTGTCAGCCCTTTGTCTCCTGGCCAGTCTCTTAGCCAAGGGGACGAGGGCTTTCACCATTTGCCCCATTCATAATGAATCCCACCTTTGCCACCTCTACTTACTCATTCTTGGTTGATGTCCTCAACCAGGAGCTCTGGAGTGTTGACTCTCAGGTACCTCCCATAAAGTAGCAAAAGTGAGGATACATTAATAATTGCTAACCATACAGGGGCGGGCTCTATGTCTACCCATCACATTCTACCTCTGCCTATTGGACATCCTCTAACCAGTGCCAGGATGCAAAAGACTGGACTGTCACCTTGACAACACTCAAGCTCACAAAAGAACAAGAGCTAACTACATGAAGCATAATGACTTCTTCTTCTTCTTTTTTTAAAAATTCATCACTATATCAAATGGTCCCAGCCTCTTTCTCTTCCCTCCATCTCTTGCTTCCTGTAGAGGTCATGGCATAACAGAGAAGCTAAGGATATCAATTTTGAGTCAAACTTCCTGCCTTCTTCAAGCTTTCCCTCCTAATCCAGACTGTGTGACCCTAGACAAGTTTCTTGGCTTTTCTGTGTCTCAGTTTCCCAGCCTGCTTATTTGTAAGAGGAAGCTTTTTGAAATTTGTAAAAAACAAAGGAGGGGGCTCAGCTTATTTATTATAAGTATAAGAAATATAGCTGGGTATGGTGGCACATAGTTACAACACCAGCACTTGGGAGGCTGAAGCAAGGAGATCAAAGTTCAAGGCCAATCTGAGCTACATAACCTGGCCATCTCCAAGTATATAAATAATGTTAAAAATTTCAAAGAAATATATATGCTTATAGGTAATTAAAGGGCTGCTATTATTATTTGTAGTAGCATAAATATATTTGTTAACTCTTTACTCCCTCATAGTATAAGCTCCAGTAGGGCAAAGAATGTGTTAGGTTTATTCTGTGCTGTGCCCCAGAAACCAGAAAAATGTCTGACAGTTTGCAAAGGCTAAGTAATGATTATGGTTTGACTATCGATGGAGAAAGAAGGGAAAGCTGGGAATGGAGAGAGGAAAGAAGGAAGACTGTGAGGAGACTTTGGAGGTAGAGAATGAGTCTAAGGCCTGATTTTGGCTGGTGACCTTTGCCTTCAATACATGCCTCTGAACAAATCAAGTTTCTGGCCAATCTAGCCTCTTCTGCTTTTCCCACTCTGTACCCCACTCTCTGCACCCCGCTCTGATGAAGTCTGCTGCATTTCTGACTGGTCTCTTAGATCAGTTTCCCATAATTCCAAGGACTCTGATGACCCATTTAGAACAGGTCCTGCCACTGACAACAGGGCAGCACCAAGGGTTGATCCTGTCCAGAGCCAAGGGAGGTCAATTACTGGGCTGGGCTCACTGAGATGAGGGGTCAGGGCAGCAAGGATGCTTCCGGAAGTCACCTGGGTGTCACTTCTGAGTCAGCCTGGCTTTGGGGGAGAGTAAGGGAGTGAACTTGGGAAGGCTCAGCTAGGCTACACATGTGTCTGGGGGAGCCAGATGCTAACCTCATTTCAGGCACAGTCACCAAACAGAATTGGTAAGGCAGCCTCCCCTGCCTACTTGCCAGAGACACAGCCATTGAACTGAAAACACGCAGGTCTAAAACCGATCTCGGCGAGCAAATCAAATTTCTAAAGCTTGTGTCAGCAGGTTAGCGTATCACTCATATTGCCACACTGGGGGAGGGGCTTTGGCATCTATGAGAGGCCAGACTTCCCTCTCCCAGATGCCAGGGCAGTCTCTTACTTGTAGGGATTGATATTGCAGATAGTGACGGCAGGGAAATCCAGTTTCTGGAAGTGGACTTTGATGGAGACAGAGACGGTGTAGAAAGAGAAGACAAGGAGGGCGCACTGCCAGATAATGAGGGCCACTGCGGTCAGCGTGAACGCGATCCACAGCAGGCGCCGAAGGCGGCCTCGGGACACCACGATGCGGCGGCAGCCGTGGGTGTTGGTGTTCAGGCAGTACCAATGCATCAGGTCCTTAATAGTCGGTGCCTGGGGGCCTCGAACAGGCAGATTCTTTTTGATTTTGGCTTTGATCTTCTCTCCAGGCGCCATGGTAAGGACGGGACTTTGCAGCCTGCGGAGTTCAGAAGGGACAGAGGGGGCCGAGTAAGTGAGCTTGCAAGCACAGACCTGTCAGCCCATCTCTAGAGCCTGCGACTGGGAAACACCAAGCCCACGTGTTCTTAGAGGCCTTTCTCTTCTATGGGCTGGACAGGCTGCATTCTGAGCCCTTGGCCCCTTCTCCAGGATATTTGCTTTGGGTCACCACAACTGCCTCCTCCTCTTAGGGCCCCCAGGCCTAGCCTTGTGGGGGCAGGGTAATGTGTAACCTGCACATACTGGCTGGACTAGCTGAAGGACCTTTCCGTGGAGTTCCTGGGGGCAGGCGCCCTCACAGCAACCAAGCCAGACTTCTCTTATCAAGCAGAGGCACTATAACCCGTGCCTTATCGCTTCCACTGGCCACTTCTTGAGAGCAACCCTTCTGTTTTACGATGTCTCCTGGTGCCCAGTGAAATGTCCCTCCTGCACAGAGCACATGTCAGGCAAGGTGTCACTGACTGATGAAATCTCCCACGACTTTCCAGCAGCTGTTATAGATCTTGTTCTGACTCCGGTTTCCCTGCCCCTCTCCCATGCTGCTCTCTTATAAGTGAAATGATTTCTGTTTCATTTCTTCTCTCTACTGTGGACAATAGCACCTGGTGTCACATCAGCCCCATGACTGCTGGCCTGTCTGTACTTACAGGCATCGTGCCATTTGACTTGATTTTTACCTAATTTAGAGAAGGCACCTTGACTTAATGGCAGCCTTTGGGGGGTGAGCATTGGAAAACGAACGAACACATTCACATGTGTAGGTTGCATCTCAGCTGCAGAAACAGCACGCCACGAGTTCATTTTAGCAATGCACAGTACGTTGTACTAATGTACACTGTACTGTGGATAAAATCACCAGCCTCATAACTATGCAGTCTCTGTATATAAATATGCAGTAGTTTATATATTTCAATATGTGAGGTAGATATACTACTGTTATCTCCATATCAGAGAGGTGGAGTGACTTGCTCAAGATACACAGCATGACTCCTATGTCTACGTGAGGTCTGTAACCAAGTCAAGGACTTTGATGGTCCCATCAATTTCTTTTCCTTTTCAAGATGGAGAATAAAATAGTGGGGCTTTTAAAGTGTCATTTTCATTCACATGTGTCATCATACTTTGTTCTCATTTGTCCTCTCCCTCATTGCACCCGCTGGGCCCCTTCCTCCTTCCAAATAACTCCCCGATCCTGCTTTCATGCCACATGTATTCTGTTAGTCGTCCTTCCCCCCCCCCCAAACCTCTGCCTACTTGCTCACGGTCCCCCTTTTTAATTCCTCTCGCTCTCTCACTTAAATCTAGGTTCTACATATGAGAGAAAACATCCCTTTTTGAGAATGGTTTAGTTTGCTTGACCTAGCGATGTTCTCCAGGCAGGATCCTTCCATCTTGAATCAATGGAATGTGGTCCAAGATTGGGGGAAAGTTGGGGGCAAGGCTCTCAAGTTTACAATGCTTGTGGGCTTAAGGATTATAGTACAAAAATGAAGTACAAGAACTATAATACAAGAGAATGGAGGCCGGGGTGAGATGGTCAGGGCATCAGGACTGCCCCCAATAACCTGCCCCACCCACAGACTTACGTGATTCTTCTTGGTTGAGAAAAACTGTCTCTGACTGACAAAATTATTAGCCCCTTGGTAAGCAGTGTGATTTACTTTGTCTTAAATGTCATCCAAAAAAAACCAAAAAAACAAAAAACAAAAAAACAAAACCCACTGCCGTGAAGCATGGTGGTATACACCCAAATGCCAGCACTCAAAGGCAGAGGTAATAGGAGCTCTGCAAGTTGAAGTCACCTTGGTCTATATATCAGAATACCCTCAACAATCTTCTTGAGTAGATATCATAATTTCTCTATTACACAAATGAAAAGGAGACACACAAATAGACTAAGTAGCTCGCCCAGGGTAATAATAGAAAGTGTCCAGGCTAGGATTTGAACCCAAGAACACATACTAGTTATGTTATTGCTTAAATAATGATAGTGGTCACAGATGACAGCTGCAGCAGCAATAATGGCAGATGTCAGTTACAGATACACCCGTGCCCAGGGGTCCTATTCCAACATTTTCACCTAATTTAATTCTCGCTGCAGACTAAAGGAGGTGTTATTACGATCCCCATCTCACAGAAAACAAACGGAGGTGTAATCTGCCCAAGGCCACACAGTATGAAAGAATGAAAGAATGATTTGAAATCCCAGGTCTCCGGGTTTCTTCCTGAAACCTGTTCTCTTCCCTCACCTACCTCCAAACCTTGCCTCTGTCCCTGTCAGGAAACTGAAGCTTGGCGAGAGGTGACACGTTTGTGAGGCTCTGTTACTCTTAGAACTTGGGCACGAATACCTGGGATCAGGTAATGTTTTGATTCCCGCCATGCCATGGTGCTAATCGGAAATAGCCTGAGCCTCAGAACCCAGGTCTCAAGGCCCTGGGACAAGCTACCTCACTGACTCGCTGAAGTCATCTGTCGCAGTTTTGCGGCAAAAGCCATCTGCTTCGTGCCAGCTATCGCGCCGCTGCAGTCTTGGGCGCCGCTTTCAATTAGCCCTTTTCAAGTGCTTGATTCTTTCTGCAGTAGGCACCTCTAAAGAAAAGCTTTCCCGCGGCTGAAAGAACAGTCGCGGTCAAATGCATGCTCTTCTAGGCTGGGAAGCGGGGTGAGCTGGGCAGAGAAGGTCCGAGATGCGCTCCTCCCACGCACACCGGCTTAGAAACTGTCGCTCCGCTCTGTATCGTGAGCCAAGCTCTGGGAAATGTCTCAGCATCTCGCCACCCGTGGATAGAATATTCTTTTTCTTGAAAGCCCCGGAACCACGCCCCGTGGCTGCTCAAGTGCCTGGAACCCCGGAATAGAACTCACCCGTTGTGGCCGGGCTTACGTCTCTGATCCGAAGGGTCACAGCTGGAGTGTGTACAGTCTGGAGAGACGCTCCTCTTCTTCTGGCCTCATAAAGCCAAGCATCTCCAAGTGGCACGGCCAGGAGCGCCCGTGGATCAGGCTCAAGCCCCGCCCCTAGAGTTTCCTCCCCACTCAGACTCCACCCACACCTGCCCAGGTGTTTTCCCCAGGCCACCCGCGACTTGTCGCAGCCCGGAGTAAGCCGCTACCCCGCAGTGCCACCTGCCGTCCAGAGTCAGCTCCAGGGCTGCGCTGCGTCTTGCGGTGGCACCGTGCGTGCTTGCTGCCTCCCAGAGGCCACTCTGCAACCTGCATTCCCGCTGGGTCACAGCCCCAAGGTACTAAAGTCACCTCACTCTGGCCCAGATCACAGGAGCTCTCTTTCCCACTTCCAGCAGGTATTCCACGCAGCCTCTTACTTCTCACGCTTCCGACCTGGTCAGGACATGCAGCATGCCGCTGCTTCAGCATCTTCTGGAGTTCCACTGTGGGCAACAGGAGCTATTTAACCAGAGCATTCACTCATTCTTTGGGCCCGTCAGCTGTCTTTCTATAGGGAGTTACACAAATTGACTATTAGAAACAAGTTTAGAACGCTGAAACTGTGAGGGATCCAAGACAGAAATCCAAGTTATAATCTCTTTGAGATGGGAAGAAACATTGCCCCACAAAAGACAGGGTGTTACTAAGTATTAAAACATTTTAGACATAAATGTGTTCATATCCACTTACAAACCTTTTTGAAATGCAAGTTCCTGAGTTGAGGATGTAGATCAGTCGGTAGAGTGCTTGTTTAACATAACCGAAGCCCTGGAGTTGATCCCCACTATCATATAAACTGAGTGTAACGATGCATGCTTACAATGCTAGATCTGGAATTTAGAGTGAGACAAGAGGCTCAGAAACTCAAGGCCATCCTCAGCTACCACAGTGATTGTGAGTCCAGCCTGTGCTCTGATTCAATAGGGTGGCATGAGTCTCGGAAGTCTGGACCTCTGGCTTCCCAAGAGATGCCTCTTTTGCCTGACCAAAGATCAAATTTTTGGTGGGTAGAAACATATTTTTGGTTGAAGAACAATGTAAAGAAAAATCCCCCTTGCAATTAAATGCTCACCGTGAAGAATTAACATAATAGTGCACATCCCTTCCTAGATAAGCATTAGCAGAATCAGTGTACTGGCTAGTTTGTTGTTAACATGGTAACTCATTTGGGAAGAGTTTCAGAAATGCCTTCCTAAGATTTGCCTGTGGGCAAACCTCTGGTGTATTTTCTTGGTTGATGATTGATGGGGGAGGGTCCAGCTCACTGTAGATGGGGCCAACCCTGGACTGGTGGTTCTGGGTGCTATAAGGAAGCAAGGGAGCAAGCCATGAGAAGTAAGCCAATAAAAGCACCCCTCCATAGTTTCTGCTTCAGTTCTTACCTTCACGTTCCTTCCCTGCTTGAGTTCCTGCCCTGATATCCCTTAATGATGAACTGTTATCTGGCAGTGTAAACTTAAATAAACCCTTTCCTCTCCAAGTTGCTTTTGGTCCTAGTGTTTTATCTTACTAGAAACCCTAGCTAAGACTATTTTAATTTGGAATATACACATATATACGTATATACATATGTGATGGTTTGTATATGTTTGGTCCAGGGAGTGGCACTATTTGGAGGTGTGGCCTTGTTGGAGTAGGTGTGTTACTGTGGGTGTGGGCTCTAAGATCCTACTTCTAGCTGCCTAGAAGTCAGTATTCTTCTGCTAGCAGCCTTCAGATGAAGATGTAGAACTCTTAGCTCCTCCTGTACCATGCCTGCCTGGATTATGCTATGTTCCCACCTGAACCTGTAAGCCATCCCCAACTAAATGTTGTGCTTTATAAGACTTACCTTGATCATGGTGTCTGTTCACAGCAGTAAAACCCTAACTAAGACAGAAATTGGTACCATGGATTGGGGTATTACTGTGATAGGCTTGACCATGCCTTTTTTTTTTTTTTTTAAGAATGTGGATTTTGGGACTTTGGATTTGGAAGTCATGGAATGCTTTAAGTGGGGCTTA